CAGTGAGAAAGCCAGTCAGTTCTTAAACAGCCATATCTTCTATTTATTTACGATTGATAATATAAGACAAAATAACAGTTTACTCTGATAAAATACAACAAAATAATACTAATATGGCCAAACTAGCAAGTTCACAGCCAATTTTATGTTGTATATATGCAAAAAGAAATAGAAACTTCTTTGGGAGTTGTTTGTTGTAAATGTGTATCTGAAAGTGTACAAGTTTAGGCCTAAGTCCAAATTTGACCCAGGTGTCCAAAAACATGATCTCTGGGAACACAAGAGTCCTCTCACTCCGTGTAACCGCAACTGCACTCTCAGTGCCTTTCAGTCAGGCAACGATCTCTCGCTCTGGCTGGCCTGAGTCCTCCATTGGCACAGCAGTGAGCACGTTTACCAAGCTACATTTCACAGCGCTTCCTTCAAACTTTTCAACTACCTAACTGAACTGGAGAACTAAAAAGAAGAAATCTCTGGATCAGTGAAAATAGGAGATAATTTTCCACTATAACACATAAATATCATATTTTAATGAAACATTTTGTTTCCTGCTTTTGCTTGTTGAAAATGACACTTTCAAGTCACACACACATTTGCTAATGTTAATTTTTTTTTAAATGACTATTTTATTCATTTTTAAAGTGATGTCAGAATATGATGCCACTTTTCTGGTCCCAAATGTTAAAAAAGTCACAACTGCACTCTCAGTGCCTTTCAGTCAGGCAACGATCTCTCGCTCTGGCTGGCCTGAGTCCTCCATTGGCACAGCAGTGAGCACGTTTACCAAGCTACATTTCACAGCGCTTCCTTCAAACTTTTCAACTACCTAACTGAACTGGAGAACTAAAAAGAAGAAATCTCTGGATCAGTGAAAATAGGAGATAATTTTCCACTATAACACATAAATATCATATTTTAATGAAACATTTTGTTTCCTGCTTTTGCTTGTTGAAAATGACAAACACTTTCAAGTCACACATTTGCTAATGCAAATTTTTTTTTAAATGACTATTTTATTCGTTTTTAAAGTGATGTCAGAATATGATGCCACTTTTGTTGTCCCAAATGTTAAAAAAGTCACAATTAAGATATAAAAGCTAAAAAGCATGACAAAAAAATCAAACTTTGATTAGGATGTGAGAACATCTATTCATATTTATGTGTGTTAATCTTTTACTTTTGTGATCTTTTATTTTTGTTTAATATTTCTGTCATCATGATGTGACTTGCTAAAGCCATTCTGTCTTTTACCAGTTCACAATTACATCACACTTAGTGATTTCAAGTCATACTTTTTAATGTCATAATGTTGAATTATAAATTTTTTTTTTTTGTATGTCATAATTTCTTCTATTTCATAATTATTACTTTTTATGACATGATTTGGACTTTTTATCTCATAATTGACTTGTAATAAAATTTTTCTCACAATTATAACTTTGTCAAAACTGTAATTTACCAAAGCATTTTTTCTTTTGTGGTGAAAATGGGCTTTCAAACGGCCTAATTATGGAATTATCTAAAAGCACAGATTTAGAAATAAAATATTAAAAAATAACAACCAAAATTCAGTGCATAAGGATGCTGTCATAGAGGAAACAAAAGATGAAGAAAATAAGAAAGACACCAGACACATCAAAAGCTGCGTATGTGACAGTCAAGGACTATTTATCTATAAATTAGGATATAAAAATGATGTCAGACAAACTAGGAAAATAAAGTGGCATTTTACATTTTTGAGTTCAATTTTTGACCCTCGTCATGAAACTCATAACCTTAATAATGGTCTATACTAAGCAGCTCGTCTACAAAATTGCTGCATATTTTCAAACCACCCTCCATTTATTTTGTCAGTGCCTGTATATACAATGCTAATTTTTAAACTACCGGTATTAATCTCCTCTAAGGTTCAGCAAAACTTTTCAACAAATACTGCATTATGTGTGTTTGTGTTGGAACAGATTATAAGTTTTTTTCTTTTTTTTTTTTTTTACTTGGATTTGTCAAATTCTTCAAATCACTTCTAATCGTATCCGGCATACAAAACAGAGTTTGATTATTCTGTTAAGTGCTGAAACTCAAACAATGCAAATTCACCCTTTCGTATTTGTCCAAGATCATTAATACCTAGGATTTTTTAAACCATTGGCTTAATCAGCATTATTATTTTGTTCTTGGTAATTACAGAAACAGGTCAAATGTGTATAATTATGCTCTGGAATTCTTCTGTTCGCTGTTATAGACAGTATAGCCTTGGCATGCTGTATAGGGCAAGTGCATCCTCTTTTGAGTTCTGGTCTTCTGCACATGCAGTCAAACAAACAAACAAACAAACAAGGTGATTGTTGTTATGATCTTCATTCACAACATTCTTATCTTTTAAATATCCTGACAATTCATACAAATATGGGTAAAAGGGTGTTTAGTTATGCTGCTTCATCTGATTGGAACCAGCTACAAGTTAAATTGTTGGTCTCAAAGAGTTGGTCTCTTTCAATTCATTTAAGTGTATTTCAAATTATTTTGTCTTGGATTTACTCAGTGTATATTTTTGTTTATGTGAATTAATGTATGTTGTTTTGTTTAAATGTTTTTTTTTAATGTTAAAAATATGTGTGTTGCCTGTCTTGGCCAGGACCCTCTTGTAAAAGAGATTTTATATCTCAAGAGTTTTATTTTTATATTATTTTATTTATTTATTTTGAAAAAGGTATGCTCCATGCAATAAATGGCCTTTATGAATATCATTGGTAATATCAAAACTAGAATATGGTTCAGTAGGGATTGGGATGAAATTTAGTTTTGACTGAAGCAGGCCTTCTAGAGGCAGAAAAAAAAGATTAGTGGAACATAAGTCCTAAACAAGAGCTTAAAATGCTGCCTCATCCCGCAAAGTCCTTAATCATTGAGTTAAGAAATCACCACTTTGGAGCTTTAGAGGCATGTGTGTGTGAATTAGTCTCTCAGTCAACTCAAAACAAACAAAGAGTTAAAGCCATGAAACACGAGGGGTCAGAGTCAAGCAAAAACAGCAAGCAGCTGGATTAGATCCTTCAGATCAGATTCTCTCAGAAAAGCTCTCTGCACATAGTTCAAGCAGGGCTGTTGAAATTGTTTATATTTATTTATCTTAAATGCTTTATTGTCTTAAAGCATCCACTAAGAAAAAAAAAGTCCATTACAATGTACAAAACAATCGGCCTCACAATAACTAACACTTCAACAATTTTACAGTAATTTTTAAGGGTATTAGGATCTGGTTGTAACCATGCTATACTACCTATTACCAAAGGGGTCGCAGCTCTCTCATATGTGACCCAAAGTTTTCTGTGAAGCCTTTCAATTCAATTCTCCAACACAGAAACAGTAAACTTTACATCCAGGATGATAAAAGACAGAGAATAGAAAAGGCATTTTATAAGACTTTGATATAATTGACTTTCTATAAAATACTTTGACAAAGGACACAGTGATTAATTTACCTCAAAAATGTCCATTTGCTGTGTGTATCTAAAGATTGGGGTTGCAGGCTGGTAATAGTGTCTATTTCAATCACTGCCCTAAATTCCTTCGTTTACACAGGGGTCTGTACAAACAGTGCTCTAGAGAGCTAACTATGAACACAAAAGTGAATGGGGCTTAGAGGCTGCTAAAGCAGAACTTTGACAGGTTATGTAGAAATATTAAGTATATCCCATATAATCTGATTAGCGTTGTGCAATCAGAGGGAAAATCTAGCAATATAAATGCATGATCGCAGAGCCACTTAATAGAGGAATAGAAAATCACATAGTGGTCATGATGTATGAAAAATGCCATAAACTTCAAAAGCACAGGCTTTCTGGATAGTGAGAAAAAACAATGAATTTAACTTTCTTAAAGCAAGTAGACTCTAGGACAGTGTTTCCCAACCGGGGTGCCGCGGCACTTGTCGAGAGCAGGGGTGCCGTGTAAAAAATCCTTTTTTAATATTTTTAAATTGCTAAAATGTTCAAAAAAGCATATATTATATAATATCCATTTCTGATGTCGCCAATAATTAGTAATAATAATTATACATTTGCATTCATGAAAAAAAATGCATGCATGACAAAAAAAACAAAACAAAAAAGTTTTCCAAACATAATTTTCATGTTGTCTTCATCAAGCATCCCTTACATACTACAGTGAGAAATGCAGCTGTCTGATCAAATTGCACTGAACATTTCAGCTGCACCCAAGCAGAGAATGGAAATGTTATTATCTGGATGTTTTTCCAGTGGTTTGCAGTGGGCCAGTCTCTAGTCTACTTTGTTTCCTTTTCAGTTGTTTGGACCAGATTTTAGGCATTGCTCCACTCGGTTCTGAGAATGGCTTTGATAGAGGATTACATATCCAGTGACCACTAATTCCAAAATTACACAAACATTTTGTAATAATAAACAAATGAAAAGAACTCGTGAGCACACACTCAAAAAAAAAAAAAAAATCACTGAATATGTCATGCAAGATTTGCTTTAGACTCCAAACAAACATCACTCATGTTAGAGCTCATGTAATAACAAATAAAAATAAAATAACAATCAACTAGTTGCATAAGGCAGGCATTGTCATTGCAGTTTCAACCCATTAGAGTGAATTCAGGTAAAAAGGGACACTTTTTGCCATTGAGATGACTGGTAAAAAATGGCCCAATTATCCTGAATTAAACCTACGTTTTGGAAGATGGGCCATTTTGTTACAGTAACTGCAGCAGGGTGTTTCTTGAACTTGTTATATGAAGGTCACATTGGAAACTTTGAATCCCCTCTCATGATTTAATTTAGCTTCTTTTAAAATGCCTTTTATCTTTAGATTTTGTGTGGAAAACATTTATTTCCATTTTTATAGCGAGAGTTGAAGAAATAGCAGTGACAAATCACATCTTACCATGGGTACAATGTAATTACAATGTACAGCATGCATTTACATATCCAACTGTAGATAAATGAACACACTTGACTCCACCCACTCTGCATTCGAAAAACTTTATTTACACTCAACCTCAAGAACAACCCGTCATTTCAAAACAAACGATATTAATAAACTCGGTAGGTATGATTGCATTATTTAAATAGACGATGGTTTACATTTGTGGTAAAATGTTCAACAATGTTTTTTTTAAATGCTGAAATAAGATAATAGCCTCAGGCCGTTAATCCTGTTTTAGAAATCAAGCTATGCCGCAGAATGAACTAACTTAACCCGGTGACTCTTGTATTCTGTCTGTGTTTTAACTGAGGAAATGCACATGCTGGAATTAAGAAGTATTTGTACAGTAGAGTTTCACTTCCTCTTTATTGATAAAATACAGTCAGTGTAACCTATAACAGTCGTTAGCTGGTTGGCAAACCTTGTTTTAGTCACACTGACATTAAACGCGTTCATTTGTCGGGCATGTGAGATTATGTATTGTTTTCCAAGGTTAGGGCTTTTTCGAACGTGCATGGTTTAATTTCCAGCATGAAATCTGCTATGATACTATAATAATATTCATGGAATCGTCAGCTGGGGGTTTATAGTACAGTATTGCTGTTAGTGATGGTTGTGAGGTTCTATAATCAAGCAGAGACACAAAAGTCACCAATGTAACAGCCTTTCAAATTATTCAACAAAGAAGACATGAGTTACGGTTGTTCATATGAGCTGTAGTGTGTTAAATCAGATTAATCAGATTGTTCACATATTTCAACTAATGTAAATTTCTTTCTAAATATCCGAGGCACAAAAGCTCCATTCTGCAGGGGAACTAAACATCATCCACTTTCTATAAGGGTTTGATGCTATTTAAGGAAAAGGCTATAGGCCTAGTAGCTTCTTTTGGAATATCACAGATTCTGAGCGGCCAATGGCATCAGAGGAGATGGAAGGTTTGTGCCCATTACCAGAGGTGACGGGCATCAAGGTGGAGCCATCCATCAGCATTGGCTCAGCAGACGATAGCAACTCACAGAACGCCATGGGCATTAAGTTTATATTACCCAATCGCTTTGACATGAACGTGTGTTCGCGCTTTGTGAAGTCACTGAATGAGGAAGATAGTAAAAATATCCAGGACCAGGTGAACTCTGATCTGGAGGTGGCTTCTGTGTTATTTAAAGGTAAAGCAAATGAATGGAACAAAATTAACTTTTCTCAATATAATTGTCAGAAACGACTTTAAAATGTCCTGGGTTTTTTTTTCTTTTCTTCCTTTCTCTACAGCGGAGTGTAATATTCAAACATCTCCCTCACCTGGGATTCAGGTTAGGCATGTGTACACGCCATCAACCACCAAACATTTCTCTCCGATAAAGCAGTCCACCACGCTCACCAACAAACACCGTGGAAATGAGGTCTCATCCACACCGTTGCTCGTTCACTGTAAGTCTTCTCATTTCATTTGGCAAGACTGCCCTTTGATATTTGTTAACCTACTCTTTAAAACTATAACCATGACCATATCCATGTTTTCTCTTTTCTAGCACTGTCTATACATCAGTTGGCAGCACAAGGAGAGATGGTGTTCTTAGCCAGTCGAATAGAACAAGGCTAGTTTGTTTGTAAAATTCATGTGAAGCAATTTGTTTTTACATACTACATACTGTTCAGAGTTTGGGGTTGTAAATGTTTTTAACGTTTCTTATGCTCACCAATGCTGCAGTTATTTGATCAAAAATACAATAAAACAATAATACTGTGAAATATTATTAGAAGTTAAAATGTTTCAATATATTTTAAATAGAAAAGCTGAATTTTCCATTACGCAGCCATTACGCCAGTCTTCAGAGTCACACGATCCTTCAGAAATCATTTTAATATGCTGATTAAGTGCTGATGAAACATTTCGCTTTATTATCAATGTTGAAAACTAGTTGTGCATTTAAATATTTTGATGGAAACTGTGATTTTTTTTTTTCAGGATTAATTGATGAATAAAAAGTTCCAAAGAAGAGCATATATGTAAAACAGAAATCTATTGTAGCATTACAAATGTCTTTATAGTCACTTTTGATCAACTTGATTTCTTGCTGAATAAAAGCATTAATTTATTTCAGAAACAAAACTGAAACATTTGACTGACCCCCAGACTTCTAAAAAGTAGTGTAGTTTTAACTATATATCTAGGTCTGTATCATGTCTAAAATTACCTTACCTTCCTGTTTTTCTTTGAATTAGAGTCTGTAATAAACCTGCAGGATGAAGAGGGATTCACCCCACTGATGTGGGCAGCAGCTCATGGACAGATCGCTGTAGTGGAGTTCCTGTTACAGAGTGTGAGCGCACCATACACACTCACTACATCATTCCTTCAGTGTTGTCTGTTTAACTGTAGTCCAAAACTACCTGCACAAAGCTATCAGTTAGCATTCCTTTTCGTGTCAGTGCTCAATTGCTGCCATCTTTCATCAGCTCACTGTTCTGTATTTTTACAATTCTTTATTCTGTCACCTCTCTTTCATTCTTTTGAAATTGTAGCTAAAAGACTTGAAAGAATCACCTGACACACAAAGCAGAAGTAACATTTTATAGCTGAATCTCCAGATACTCACAGCTCTTTCCTTTCAGGGTGCAGATCCTCATCTCTTGGCCAAGGGAAGAGAGAGTGCGCTGTCACTGGCCTGCAGTAAAGGGTACACAGATATTGTCAGAATGCTAATCGACTGTGGAGTTGACGTCAATGAGTATGATTGGGTAAGCAGTCACATCACTGATTCCTGAAGACATCTAAATCTATGACCTGGGAATGACAATCTTAGACTAGTGACTTTTGCCAAATTAAGCTGGTAGTTTTATAGCAATGCAAATGGATGAGAGGTTTGAGTAGGTGTCATTTTATTTCCTAGTATTGTTATATGGCATGAATATACTTCTCACTATGACTTGAACCTTGCACTCTGAGGTGTAGTAGCCAGAATCAATGTGTGTTTAAGCAAAAAACTGATTTGCACATAAGGCAGTGCTTATGTATTTCCAGAATGGTGGCGCTCCGTTACTCTATGCAGTGCATGGTAATCATGTTCGCTGTGTGGAAATCCTCTTAGGTAAAAGGCTTACTTTGAATTAATTTCATTTCACTGCAATGCAATCCAGTGTGTAGGTATTCTTCATAGGTTTGGTTAACTGTTAATATTACTTCTGATCACTGGACAGAGAGTGGAGCTGACCCAACCATGGAGTCTGACTCTGGGTTCAATGCTATGGACATGGCTGTGGCAATGGGACACCGAAATGGTAACTATAACATGATTACCAAGTGTTAAATGAATACTGCCATCAAACTTAGCTTTCTTAAGACAGGACTGTTTTATTAAGTTTAAGTAATTAATATTAAGACTATTATACCTGTTTTGTGTTGGTCTTATTGTCATTGTAATTCTTCATATTGTTGTTTCCCAGTCCAACAGGTCTTGGAGGCTCATCTTCTGAAGCTTCTGCAAGGTATCAAAGAATAACCGTAGCAACTACAAGAATAATTACAGAGAATATTTAAGTGTTATGAGTGTTCAGTATGATGAAGTGGACAATATCATTTCACGTTTGCAGAACACACTTTATATGAAGTTAATTGTCATTTTTATAATTCACTGTTGAAGATGCAAATGCACAGATCAAAAACACATGGCAAATGATGACATCAGAACTTCAGCTTTTTGAATCTGATATATATGTGGTTTTTATTCAGTGTGATGTGTTTTAAGTCACTGATCTTTACTTGCAATGTGTACTTGAAAAGATATTTATATAGCCATTTAATGCAAAAATAAGCTGTTTCACATTAAACTTGACTGGTATTATGAAGGCTTCAGGAAACTAAGTAAATCTAAATATGGGTACTTCAGAATCAATCAAGTGGAAAAGAACATGGTGAAAACAGGTTTACAGTAACAATTTACAGTGAGAGATGTCCAAGTACTAGTTCAACTGCCAGACTTACTGCTGCACCAACATTTTTTTGTCAGGTTTTTAGACTTTGGATTGCCCTCTTTTAATGTACGTTTTGTGCTACAACACTAAATAAACCTTAATTTATACTGAAGGATGTGCCTGATCTGTCTGAAAAAAAAAAAAAGTAGAAATCCACTGCATTTCTAACATGAGTGTTCAAGTTTTTATGTACTAATAATCCCTTAGGAATCATCTTAATTGTGGTTGAAAATGATTTGTTTCAAGTTGATAGCATGGAGTGACCTCATCCCCAATTAAAACAAAAAGACAAAACAGTATTTAATAAGCCTTTTGTCAATAACAAATGTTTATTTCCAGATGTTGATTCAGACGGGCTCCAAATGAGTGAGCCCCAGTAACAGGGAAGGTGGAGGCAAAGATGCCTCTTGGACCGCACAAGCAAAAACACACACTCGTAAAACTGTGCGTGAACTTGTGTGGTACAATCAATCTCACACTCTCAGCTTGGACACATGAGGGTCACAGCAGTGCACGAAATAGATAAAGGAGATTCAGGGATGCAATATATTTATAAAAGGAAAAAAAAAGTCCCACAAGTCTCCGCTGAGACCAGAGATTTCAAACGTCTTTCCTTCCCATGATGTTAATTTGCCTCATTCTTTGAAGCCTCATCGAAATTCTCCACAAGGTCTGCAAAGAGAGAAAACAAGGATTCAATCAAACAATACCAGCTCTACCTGTAGTCAATGACAATTCAATGGGTCTAAAACTGAACACGGGGGAAACAGGATTTATGAAGAAACACCGGACATCTAATAAATGTGAGTGTGACAAACTAAATTTCATCTTCATGAAACAATCTGTGAATGTTTATAGAAACATGATCTGAAAAGGCAATCTCTGTGCTTCTCTCTCACTTGTGTGCCCACGTGTGTAAGTAATTTCTATAAAGAACATAAACGAGCACTGGGGGACTGAAAAGTTCACAGCTGTAAAAATGAAACCACAGGATCAAAAGCAGGTTGCCTTTTAGGAGATGAAATCTGATAAATGGAACATCAACTTTTCTACCTCAGGGCATCAAAATAGAAATCACTAACAGAAGGCTGGACTTTGTTTTCAGAGGGGACAGAAAAGGTTGAATCTCAGTAATAGGCACAATGGCGCAAGCGGTTAACCCTTTTTGTCATCGCACGGGTGAGCTAATTTTGCAGTGTCGGAGATGTAATCATACTGTTCATGTGCAAGACTTGGGTTACTAACTGGAGTTTGCTCAGGGAGGAGAACTGGGGAATTGTAATGGCAACCTTATGTGTTTGACCCCCTCTCTTTAAAAAGAAAAGCAAACCGAGCTTTCAGTGCTCATAAACAATAGAGGAGACTTTAAACACTTGTATATGATGACAGTGTAAGAGCCAAGACAACCTGCTGAAACCTTCCTTTTTTGGACATTTCCACACCACATGCTGAGACGCTGCCCTAACGTAAGCAAGCGTGCTTTGCTTACATTACCACATGCACAGAAACCCATATGGTAATAATTGTAGAGCTCAAGCTAGGAGGCATATAAAATACACAAGGAATAATAGAAAATGTAAGCAAATAATCTTATGGTACATGCTGCGACTTAAATTATGAGAGCTGATTGTTTAAAAAAATAATAAAATAAAAAGGAAATTGGAACAAAAAAGTTCAGAGCAACATACTGACCTGGAACTTCATCATCATCTTCCTCTCCACCAGCTACCGGTGCCTTTCCATCACCAGCTGAAACAAATTGGAGAAAATCTTATAATAATGTACAACCATTCACCTTTTTAAACAATACATTTTTAGTTGGAGATTCTAGAGCATTTACAGTCATCAATTACAATGATAACACTGCCAAGAGAGACTACAAAATATAATTTCCAAAATGACAGGACTAAACATGCATATGTTATGGGATCCATCAGCTCAGATTAATAATAAGCCCTAGAAGAGCAAGAAATATCTTGGATTAAAAGCCTTCAAAAACACATTAGTCCAAATTAGGAGGAAAAAAAAAAACTTCAACCAGGTCAAACAAGAAATAATTCACTTTCCATTACAGTAGATTCTGCATGAAAAATAAAGTTTAGTCTTGCTTTGGACCAAGGTTTCACAAACTGGGGTTTGTGAGTTGATTAAAAACGAACAATTAAAAACAACGTAAAATTAAAATTAAATACAAAGAAAACCATTATTTCCCAAACTGACCGATATTTCCAAAACTGCGGTTTTAGAGTTGGTGAAAAACTAATTAAATCAAATGTAAAAATTTTAATATAACACCCAGACACTAAAAAAGACAAAACATTTTGTTTACATGTGCATGTGATTCGACCTTTTACCAACATCAAAGAATGACAACACGTGAAAGTGGTGTTATATATTTGAAATACTAACCTATTCTCAGGGAGTACTTCAGAAAAATATTTTAGGTTAAAGAGGTTCAGCAGACAAAAAAGCTTATGAATTCCTCCTTTGCACTCTCAATCTAGGCTTAAATGACCAGCTAAAAGTCTATTTTAAAGTATACTCTCTAGGAACAGACCAGCAGCAATGAAACACTCCTCCACCGAAACGTGCTTACACCTGTTAGCAACAGAGTATTTGAGCGGAGTGGCAACAATTTCCCCTCCGCGCATTTAATAATCACTCCGCTCTGGGTTCACCATTTCCCGCTCCCGCTCCACCCCTCGCTCACTGATATCAGAAACACCGCTCCGCGGCTAAAGTATTTCAGTATGTTTGAAATATCACAGTTCTGTTCGTAACGTATATTAAAAGAAAACAATTTAATAAATAAAATGACAGGAGCCTTTCAAAGTGGATTATTGGAACACTAGTGTGCAAACTTTTTTCCTACCACATGACAAGCTAATAACATGGTTGTCAGCTAGGGCTGTCGCGATAACCGCAATACCGCGCTATTGACAAGCAAACCGCAGAGGAATACAAGAACCGCAGCAACCGCGATTTTTGTGTGTTTTCTTTTTTCATAGGGTTATGCCCTTCTCGTTTTACACTTCGTGCATGTGTACTGAATATTAAATAAGTTAGTAATGATAACAATGTGTACCATGCTGATTTGTACGGAGACTCCATAGATTTGCACTTAACAAGCCTAAACAGACAACGAATGAGAGAGAGATCAACTGAGCATGTGTGATTACTTGAGTCATATATATTTGTGAAAATAGGTAGTCATGTCCAAGGAAAGGTGCAAACTTTTTTCCTACCACATGACAAGCTAATAACATGGTTGTCAGCATTAAAAGGTAGGCTATTGATGCTTTTTGCAGTGCAAATTTTGTTTGTGATGAAAATAACAGTACGTTTTCATCAGTTATTTTACCTATGGATTGCTGCATTTGTTACAGATTTCTGCTCATTCGAAATCGGATGCAGATGAAGTAGCACTGTATAAGATTACATTTGTTTGAATGCATTATTGAGACAGCGATTGCGTGTGAATAAGTGTTGTACCTGTTTAAATCATTATTTCACCTGAAAATATTCAGTATCTAGAAAGAACAAACAAATTCCTTAATAACTACCCTATAAATTCCCGCTATGTCCATTGCCGTTATCATAGCCTTCACATTCTTTCTGATTTGAGTGATCCTTCTCTATCAAGATAGCTAAATATGTTTAACGTGAATTCTTGCTAAATGTGCAGTTATATTACGGGCCGTTGGCATGAATTGTACTCGTGATGGAGCGGTGGTGGAGCGCCCTTGGAGCGAATGAAAACCACGACGCTCCGACTTTTACAAAATCCGCTCCTCCCTCCATTCAAAATCATACCGCTCCGCTCACATACTCTGGTTAGCAACACACACGGGACTGTCATTACGTGAGGTTAGTTAGTTTACTAGCTGCACAAAATCAAAAAACAATAAAATGTGACACTGCCACTGCAATCTGACCCATTTTCGAGAACTGAACACACCTTGTTTGGGCAGGGCCTCTGCAAGTCTGCGCAGACTGGTCAGGCTGTCAGCGCCCAACTGGTTGAGGATAGAGGGCAGCATCTCTGTCAGCTGCTTGGTCTCGGCGTGGCCTGTGATGGTGAAGGTATTGGCTGCCAGTGAGGCCTGCACTTTGGGATTGTTGAAGTGGATTACCGTGCCCTGGTTTGTGAACATGTTCACCTGCAAAGCAACAGTATGACAGTTGAAAGACAAAGTGTACACGGAAAGAGATTTTAGACATTTTTAAATACAGAATGTGTGTATTCAGCCAAAACCAAACCTTACTTCCTCAATGCCAGAGATGTTATTTACTCCCAATTTCTTCAGGGAGAACTGAAGCTTCTTGTCATCAGCAGTGGCCGTTCTGTGGACCACCTTCTTCTTTCTGCGGGCGGTACCCTATCAAAACAAAATACCATTAATGTGTCAGTGAGGAACTACTCTTATTTGACTAGACATTTATGAAGTAAATACACATTAACCAAATTTCAATGGGGTTTTTGCATTATAAGCTCTTACCTTTCCACCGATGCGGACTTGTGCCTGCAACTTGGCTAATTTCTCCTGGTTCATTATCGTTTCTTTCATCTGTAAGACACACAGAAGGATGTGAATGATATTGTGTAGTGAAGTTAAAGCACAAATGAGTTGTAGGGGTGCGGTCTGAATGACACATTCAGCGGACAAACATCTTATTAGTCCACAAGAAAACTTCAACACACACATGCACAGCCATTACTAAATCGCACAGCTCACGCCCTTGTTCATTTTCAAACGCACAGAACAAGTCAGAAACTACTTTTATTTGCTGTGCAGCGGCTAATACAAAAAAAAGAGCAAATGATGGAGCTTGTTGTCAGGCCTGTTGAGCAAGAGCGACCACTTGACTCAAGTCAAGTCAAGTCAGGTAGTTCGTTTTTACACCCGCAACGTAAAACTTCCAGGCCGACACTATTATGTAGCCATTTAACGTTTTAAATACAAAACAATGCGACGGGATTTCTCTCTGAATAAGCAGATGCTCTTGGTCCACAAAGAAAACCGTTAGCCAATTGATAAGACTAAACGCTGACGGAAAAGTCGTAACAAATTAAAACGATATTAGCATTCGGTTTATAAGTATAAATGTAAAAACATTAGATATCGAATCGCGTGTGGAGGCTCGTAGAGTTTGTTTGCAGTGAGCTAGCAGCAGTGCTAATCTCACGCGCTCATGCCTGGGTCTCTCCCAGCAGGGCCGTCTCACCCGAGCCTATTCAAGCATCTTTCCGCGGGTGATTCCTACAAAACAGCAGCCGCGTTTGGTAAATAAGGTACTTATTTACCTTGAGCCTCGGAACCAGGAGTGGTTGTGCAGGAAATAGAGTAATTTAGAGCTCCTCACTGACCTGCACGCTAGCAGCAAACACATGCGAAGAGCAAGATGGAAGCGAGAGAGGATGACGGAAGTGACGACAGGACTGAAATGCGACGCAGTGGGCTGGATCCAGAAACCATTCCTGCCTGCACTGGTCTGGTCTGGTCTGGGCCAAGAATAATGCTCAACCAGCGTATAGTCGGGTCTCTTTTGTGCGGTAT